CCGATTTTTCCCAATTTCAATAGGGTTCGTCCTTGGGCCAAATAAGTGATTGTGCTAAATTTCATCCAAATCGAATCATAAATGCGACATGTATTTTGTTTACAATTTAACATCTACAGACGGCCAGAGGGCGGACTGACGGAGATGCATAAATCGACTCAGAAAGTGGCTCTATGCACATTCTCAAAAGGAACCATGTGTCTATCTCGTTTCCTTTTGCCTATTACAAACATATGTACAAACACATAATACCCTGTACCACAGAGTGGTGAAGGTTATAAATATTAAAAAAAATCCAGTCTAAAAATAGGCCTTAAAAATATTTTTTGAAAAATCCTGGCCTAAAAATATGCTTTGAAAAATATTTTTAAACCAGCGTGCGGAGCAGTATAGTGGGACGGGGCCGACCAAATAATATCCTACACAAAGTCCACCAAAATCTGACCAGACATGGATGGGCATGGAAAATTTCAAAGCGATCAGCACTATATTTCCGTCCTCTAGTGTGGTAATGGGTTACTAAATAATATCTGCAAGTTTCACATTAGGGCGGAATAAATACAAGTTATCAACGTACGACCTTTGTAAGGCCACATAGCCCAATATGCCTGATGAGCCGCTTAACCAACGGCGAAACGCGTCGCATAATGGTAGGAACGTAGGTTCTTTTCCTGGCTTTCCTTTTCATTGCAAAACTTAGATCATCAAGCTCGACTCGAAAGAGTATAAATAATCACTTAAAATTACTTTGAAATGATCACTGCCCTAACAAGGCAAAATTCAAATAACAAAAATTAATATCTGAATACGTAACTCCCACATCCCCCACACATCTGAGTACATACGACAATATAATAGGTATCAATTTAAATGTCAACCATTCCTCTTAGATATACTATCAACTTCTCGGGTCTATGGCCTGCAGGAGTAAATATATGCGCTTTAGAATACAATTTTTTTTTTCATTTTCCACACCAAAATCAGGGTCCATGTGACCCGCTAAATATTGACCCGATCCCCTTCTTCATGTGAAAATTCGCTATGTTCGGGCCATAATTGCGGTCTCTGGAGCGACCAGAAAATAAGACAAAATAAATAGTTTTTGGTCAATTTCATCCACTAAATATTAACCGATCTTAACCAAAAACAATAGGGGTCTTCATTGGCCAGAATCCATCCTACATGAAAAATTTCGTGAAGATTGATCCATAACTGTGGCCAGTATCGTGTTTGCAAATTATAATGGACAGACAGACGGACGGACACACATGTCTAGATCGACTCAGCTAGTCGAGATATGGCGATCGGTATACTTAAAGGTGGGTCTACGACCAATATTTCGCAGCGTTACAAACTCTTGAGGCTGCCCAAAGCTATAATACCCTGACAACATAGTTGTGTAGGGTATAAAAATCCACGCCGATTTTTGACGCCTAAAAAATAATTTCAAATAATAATGTAGGCCTAGGAATAGACTCTGAAAAATACATTTTCAACTAAAAAGTTATATGACCACATACAAGGAGCTTAGAAGAAAGTCTTGAAGAATCAAGAAAATCCAAAGCTTGTGGATTGGATTTTATTGTTTATTGCCTAGCTTAAAATTCTTGTTTATTTCCTATTTATATCCTGACAAAAAAAAGTCTGGCAAACATAAGTGTTATGCCTTTCCCTTTTTATTTTTTGTTCACACATCCCCCCAAAAAATGGGGAACCAGGCATGAATCTCAGTATTTTGTCTCCGTCCTTTGTGTTTTTGGGAAGTTGATTTATTTCTTGTCCTATATATTTTATGGTCCATTTGTTTTATGGATAATCGAATAATGTTGCCGTAATAGTTAGCAATAAATTGTTCTGCCATTTTTTTGTTGTGGTGGGCAATAAAGAATTATGGCCTAGGAAGAGATAGTTTGCAAAAAGAAAAAAACATGTATCCTGAAGGCAGGTTGGGTTGTTAGCAATAGAAAATCTATTTGCACATAATTTTTTTCTTCGAAAAGAAGGAAAAAGGGATACTGAAGGAAAGATTAAGGATATGAGATTTTATATGCCAAGAAATTGTGATTTCAACTTTTTTATATTTTATTGAAGCCTAAATTTTTACCATAATTCTTCGCCCTTAAAATTTCTTCAATTTTTTTCCAAACAAATTTAAATAATTTTTAAAAAATTTGTAATAACAATTCAATTATCTATGATGCATGAATATATATATTTATGTATTTATTTATTGTATATTTTGCCAATTATGAAGCTTCCTCTAATTAGGCAATTGTGCGGCCTCATTGTTATAATCAAAAGTCCATTAACAATAACAACACAACAACAACAAAAATCAATGCAACAACAAACAATTCATCCATCCAATCATAAATTCATTCATGTGTAACTGAACAGCAACAACAACAACAATAATAACAACAACCACAACAATGGATGGATGGCTGAATCGAACAGCAATTCCCCAGTGTTCGGATTCGAACATAAGTAAACATTTTACAATACAATTCAATACCATAATAATTATGGGATTTTTTTTGTGTACAACAATACACACATATATAATATAACCATCTATATAATATATTTATATAGATAACAAATAAATACATTATTAAATACACCATTTTCAACGTAAAAGATTTAAAAAAAAATGGATAAATGGTCGATTTATGCATGTCCGCGGTCTGTCCGTCTGTCCATGTTAAATTGTTAACAAACTACATGTCGCATTTATGATCCGAATTGGATGTAATTTGGCATAGCTCATCTATTGGGCCCAAGAACGAAACCTATTGAAATTGGGAAATATCAGTTCAGATTTATATATAGCTCCCATATATATTCTCGCCCGATTTAATGTAAATGGTGTACCAAAGTCCCTATATATCCTTCGAGTTGCACGAAATTTGGCACTGCGTACTGGATTGATTCTAGAATGATTTGTGTAAAATTTCTTGAAAATCGGTTCAGATTTAGATATAGCTCCCATATATAATTTCGTCCGATTTTGTGTAAATGGTGCACCAAAGTCCCTAAATATCTTTCGAGGTGCACGAAATTTGGCATAGCGTACTGAAATAAGTCCACAATAATGTGTGTTAAATTTCATGAAAATCGGTTCAGATTAAGATATAGCTCCCATATATATTTTCGTCCGATTTTATGTAAATGATGCACCAAAGCCCCTGAAAGTCATTCGATTTGCACAAAATTTGTCATAGTGTACTGAATTATGTCTAGAATGACGTGTGCTAAGTATCGTGAAAATCGGTTAAAATTTAGATATAGCTCCCTTATCCGATTTTAGGTAAATACTGTGCTAAAGTCGTCCGATTTTAGGTAAATACTGCGGCAAAGTCCCTATATATTCTTCGATTTGCATGAAATTTGGCATAGCGTACTGAATTAAGTCTAGAGCGATGTGTGTTAAATTTCGTGATGATCGGTCCAGATTTAGATATAGCTCCCATATATATTTTCGTCCGATTTAAGGTAAATCGTTTATCAAAGTCCCTAAATAACTTTCGATTTGCACGAAATTTGGCACAGCGTACTGAATTACGTCTAGAATGATGAGTGCTATGTTTTGTAAAAATCGGTTCAGATTTAGATATAGCTCCCACATATAGTTTCGCCCGATTTTAGGTAAATGCTGCTCTAAAGTCCCTATATATCCTTTGAATTGCACGAGATTTGGCGTTGCGTGCTGGATTGAGTCTAGAATGATGTGTGTAAAATTTCATGAAAATCGGTTCAGATTTAGATATAGCTCCAACATATAGTTTCGCCCGATTTTAGGTAAATGGGGCATAAACGTCCCTGAAAGTCATTCGATTTGCCTGAAATTTGGCACAGAGTATTGAATTAGGTCTAGAATGACGTGTGCCAAGTTTCATGAAAATCGGTGCAGATTAAGATATAGCTCCCATATATAGATTTGCCCGATTTTAGGTAAATGGAGCATCAAAGTCCCTGAAAGTCATTCGATTTGCACGAAATTTGGCACAGAGTACTGAATTATGTCTGGATTGATGTGTGTTAAATTTCGTGAAAATCGGTGCAGATTTAAATATAGCTCCCATATATATTTTCGTCGGAATTTAGGTAAATGGGGCATCAAAGGTCCTGAAAGTTATTCGATGTTCACGAATTTTGGCATAGCGAACTGAATAAAGTCTAGAATGACATCTGCTATGTTTCGTGAAAATCGATTCATATTTAGATATAGCTCCCATATATAGCTTCTCCCGATTCTAGGTAAATGTGGCATCAAAGTCCCTGAAAATAATTCGATTTGCACGAATTTTGGCCCAGCGTATGATGTGTATTTATTTTTAAATTGGCGATTAATAAAAATATGTTTAATCGGAACGTTAAAAAAATTCCAATTGGATTTTAAAATAAATATTTTTTGTAATATCAAAATTTCGGTTTTTTCCAATTGGATTTTTAATGCACCCTCACAAAATAGTCTCTCCATAGTCCGAGACATAATATTTTCCCTTGTCAGAGTTATTTATGTATGTGTGCGTAAGTATATTTTGCTAAGGAGAAGTGCGGGGTAGCGAAGAGGGTTCGGATTACTTTGCAAAAGGTAATAAATTTCCTAAGTAACTATAACAACATCCCTGTTTAATCAAGTTTGTGTGGTGGTTTAAGCTGCCATGATGTTGTTGTTGTTTGCAACTTAACTGCTTCGGTGGGTAGCAACTTGTCAAAGTTGCCAAAGAAACCATTTGTGGCTAAAACAGCAGTAATAACAAAAACAACAACAGTAGCTGCAGCATAATAACGCATGTTTTTTTTTACCACTTTGACATGACAACCGGAGGAAAGACATGGCCAAACAACAAAAGAAATTTATTTTTTCCTACTTCGAAGTACGTTTTTTGTTCAGTGTCTTCGGTTTGAGTGACTGACTGACTGACTGGAAGCAGTTGTAAAAATTGTTGTAAAAATAAAAGTTCGAAAAAAAAACAAAACTGAAAAACTTCGAAATGTCAAAAGACGACGAAGTTCGTAATGTACAAAACCGTCGACGAAATATTTTATTTTTGGTGCAGCGTTATCTCCAGGATACGGGTCTGTATGGTACGGCAGCCGCCTTGGCCACGGAGGCATCTCGACTGCTGAGTGAAGATTTCGAATTGTGTGATAATATCGATTTGGATGGCATCTATTTGGAATATGCCAGCTATTATCAGCTGAAATTTGGCAAATATCCAAAAATTGTAAAGCGAGCCAGGCCGGGTGTGAAGGTGGAGGTTAGTTCGAAGGCGAGAAAGAAAAATGGCAGAGGTAATGTGGCAACAGACAACAAGGAAGGTAGGCAGGAACAACAAGAGACACTGACAGGGAAAGGGGTGGTAAATCCTCCTCCAAGTTTCGATGTGAATGACCTGCAGATTGTGGTAAAGAAAATGGAAACTGCGGCACAGATGTCGAAGGGGGATATGAGTCCGGCAGATAGTGATACCTTGGAAAGAAATGGTGGCGCAGGAGGAGGAGATTCTGCCCTAAACAGGTTACAAGAAATTCAACACCATCCACAAAATTCCAACCCAGGAGGTGATTTACTTCTAAGCTGCCAGGAGTGGCAAAATTTGGCCGAACTGGTCAAGTCCACAATTCTCACGGAAACTACAAAATTAAAATGGTCGGATATTTGTGGCAACTCCCAGGCCATGGAAACCATAAAAGAGGCCGTTGTAACACCACTCAAATATCCACAACTTTTCTCGAACGGCCTAAAACCTTGGCGTTCAGTGTTGTTACATGGCCCACCCGGTAGCGGTAAAACCCTACTCGCCAAAGTGTTATATTCCGAAACGCAAGGCCAGGTGACTTTTTTCAACATCACCTCCAGTGTGGTCATATCGAAGTGGAGGGGAGAGTCTGAAAAATTACTAAAAATTCTATTTTACTTGGCCCAGAGGCATGCCCCCTCAATTATATTCTTCGATGAAATTGAGGGCCTCACTTCGAAGCGAGATCGCAGCACGGATCACGAATCTTCGAAGAGATTTAAAAATGAATTACTTCAGCTAATGGATGGCATGGAAAATTCCACCCAACAGGGTAGCGGTGTGTTCATATTGGCCAGCACCAATCTGCCATGGGAGATAGATGAGGCTTTCCTAAGGCGTTTCGAAAAGAAACTGCTCGTTCAGTTGCCCAATGAAATGGAACGTCGGAATTTAATTGCGAAATTAATACCACCCAATGTGAGATTGGTGGCGGATCAAATGACAACGTTGGTAAAATTGTCGCATAATTTTACAGGTGATGAGATACGCCTGGCCTGCAAAGAAATTGCCATGCAGACGGTGAGAAGGTTGACAAAGGCCACTTTGAAGGGTGATGAACCATCATTGGAGGATGTACCGGTGGAAAATGCTTTCAAACTAATTAAACCTTTGAGTTTGCTGCTGATGGACAAGCACAGCAAATGGCAAAAGGAACATGGGTCGTAGGGAGGACGTGTAGTAAAACACACATACAAAGGGAGGAAAGAAAAAAATCGAATTAAAGGAAAACTAAAAATTAATAAAAATTATGTTTTAATAAAAAATACATTTTTTAAAAATATTTTTTCAAGGCTCCTCAACTAAGGCGTGGACTTTTTTAAAAATATTTTTTAAGGATCCTCATCAAAGGCGTGGATTCTTTTAAAAATATTTTTTCAAGGCTCTCAACAAAGGCGTGGATTTTTTAAATATTTTTTCAAGGTTCCTTAATAAAGGCGTGGATTTTTTTTAAAAATATTTTTTCAAGGCTCCTCAACAAAGGCGTGGATTTTTTTAAAAATATTTTTTCAAGGCTCCTCAACAAAGGCGTGGATTTTTTTAAAAAAATATTTTTTCAAGGCTCCCCAACAAAGGTGTGGATTTTTTTAAAAATATTTTTTCAAGGCTCCTCAACAAAGGCGTGGATTTTTTTTAAATTTTTTTCAAGGCTCCTCAACAAAGGCATGGATTTTTTTAAAAATATTTTTTCAAGACGTGAGCTCCTCAACAAAGGCGTGGATTTTTTTTAAATATTTTTTCAAGGCTCCTCAACAAAGGCGTGGATTTTTTAAAAATATTTTTTCAAGGCTCCGCAACAAAGGCGTGGATTTTTTTTAAAAAATATTTTTTCAAGGCTCCTCAACAAAGGCGTGGATTTTTTTTAAAAATATTTTTTCAAGGCTCCTCGACAAAGCCGTGAATTTTTTTAAAAAAATATTTTTTCAAGGGTCCTCAACAAAGGCGTGGATTTTTTTAAAAATATTTTTTTAAGGCTCCTCAACAAAGGCGTGGATTTTTTTAAAAATATTTTTTCAAGGCTCCTCAACAAAGGCGTGGATTTTTTTAAAAATATTTTTTCAGGGCTCCTCAACAAAGGCGTGGATTTCTTTAAAAATATTTTTTCAAGGGCGTGGATTTTATAAAATATTTTTTCAAGGGAGTGGATTTTATAAAAATATCTTTTCAAGGGCGTGGATTTTATAAAAATATTTTTTCAAGGGCGTGGATTTTATAAAAATATTTTTTCAAGGGCGTGGATTTTTTTAAAAATATTTTTTCAAGGGCGTGGATTTTATAAAAATATTTTTTAAAAGGGCGTGGATTTTATAAAAATATTTTTTAAAAGGGCGTGGATTTTATAAAAATATTTTTTCAAGGGCGTGGATTTTATAAAAATATTTTTTAAAAGGGCGTGGATTTTATAAAAATATTTTTTAAAAGGGCGTGGATTTTATAAAAATATTTTTTAAAAGGGCGTGGATTTTATAAAAATATTTTTTAAAAGGGCGTGGATTTTATAAAAATATTTTTTAAAAGGGCGTGGATTTTATAAAAATATTTTTTAAAAGGGCGTGGATTTTCTAAAAATATTTTTTAAAAGGGCGTGGATTTTATAAAAATATTTTTTAAAAGGGCGTGGATTTTTTTAAAAATATTTTTTCAAGGGCGTGGATTTTTTTAAAAATATTTTTTCAAGGGCGTGGATTTTTTTAAAATATTTTTTCAGGGGCGTGGATTTTTTAAATTGAAGGAGCATTTTTTATAATTGTTTTACTTATTTCCCATCGGATGCCCTTGGTGACAAGTCACGGGTCTTTCGTGATATGTCACGAACACCTAGATCTCATCAATAAATTATTAAAAATTAAATTTAAAAAAATCTCAATGTTTTTTTTCAATATACCTGCCCGTTGTGCGTCTTCTTGCCCCGGCTATCGTCATTCTGGATATATGACGCCTTACACGGCCACTCGATCTCCTCTGTTGACTCGATACCGAACGTACACTATATTCCGTGGCGGTTGAACTGCGTCTACGATCGATGGGTATTATATCCGAACACATAGACGTTGAAATAATCGAGGCGGTCGAACGTCTCTTTGCCCCCGTAAATGTACAACCACTCGATGAGGTTGTTGTTGCCGATGAATCGGAACGCGAAAATAACGATGAACGTTTGCTACGACTTGAAGAGGTGCCGGCGGCGTCTTGAATATTACTATAGAACTCCTCTGTATCACGATCGTATGAATCGTCTGCCTCCGCTTCGTTGTCGGCCTCAAAATGGGGATCGTTCGACTCTCGTGTTGTGTTGGCTAAACGATCCTCTTCATCGGAACCCACAAGGGTGTCGGAATGGGTGAGATAACCGTTACTGGAGCTACGGTGGATGGTACGCGAGGCACTGTTACGATTGTGCGAGGAATTACCGTTCAGCTCCCGTTCGGCGGAAGATTTTGAACGTCCCGGGGTGTAATAGTCGCTGGCGGCGGTCTCGTAATCTGAAGAGGCTCGGGTGGGATGGGAACGTGATGAGAGGGTGGAGGAGCGATAATAGTTCAGGGAGCTATTACTATCGGGCGAATGGCCTCTGGACGGGCTTAATGAACGTGGTTGTCTTACCAAGCGGGCAGGGGTACGCGAAGAGGTGGGTGTACGTTCCGAATCACTGTCACCACCACCAACACTACCACTGAAAGTTACTTCATGATATTTCGAGGATTTTCGCCGGGCTGTGGAATATTTTCGTGCCGGCTCACCACCAGTGGAGGTAGTTACAGTTTGGCTTAAAATCGATGAGGTGGCGGCAATGGAGGTTACGGTCCTCCTTTGATCATATTCTTGATTAATTGGCACTATCTGATTTTCTTCTTCGTGGAGATTGCTGCCATTTGGAGACGGTGGGTGGGTGGAATATGGACGTGACTGTTGTTGTTTTTCGCCGTTGTTACTTCTTCTCTCAGGGGCTGCCGATGCAGTGGCGGCCGTACCACCAGGTGCAGCTTCTATAGCCAACAGCTCACCGCCACGCCTTCTTCGCCAGGGAAACGCCCGTATAAATGCAAAGATGATAAAAAGCGTTGCAAACATAGCCGTTGTTACATTGTTTGGTGGAAATTTTCGGATTTGAATTCAATATCGGTTTGTTTGAGGGAGGAAGTTTTTTTTCGTTTTTGTTTTGATTTGATTTTTTCACAACGAATATTCAATTATTTTGATTTTTTTTTTGAACATTATTTATTGCAAATTTTATTTAAACACACATTTTTATTATTTTTTGTTTTTAATTTTCAATTTCGAATATCTGAACACGGCAAAATTTGAACGGAATTCTGTAAAGAAAATTTGAAGGAAGGAAGGTATTGTTAAAGTGGAAATTCTCGTTAAGACTGTTTGGTGATCCCCAGCTGGCTGATTATTTACTTTTTGAAAAAAAAAATTGAAAAAAATGTTCTCAAAACAGTTGTGTTTTCCTGTTGTTGCTGTTTTTCGTTCAATACGACTGCCTATTGAATTTTTGGTTTTGTTGTTCTTGTTCTTGTTTTGATTAGGTCATCATTTGAATTTCTTTACAAAATAATTGTGTTTTTTTCTGCTGGTGGTGGTGTGGGATTATTTTTAGTTTAATCAAGATCGCTATAATTTGATTTGATTTTACGTAGTGGACCTTGTCTGCCCACAACTGGGTTGGCTGGGGGCCAGACATGCTGCCATTTCTGTAGTAGGAACAACACATCTGGCAGAGACAATTTTCGCAATGACTTTCATTGATTATTCACTGAGAGGCAGGCAAATAAAAACAATTAACCCATTAAGGGAGAAATCAGAACGAAGTCTGAACATTTTACCAACGAGTAAAACACCAAACCGGGTGGCGTAGGGGATGATAGATACCAAGCAACGGCTCTGATTGGCTTTTACATGGCGAAGTCCAGGCTTATCTTGGTCCCTCTTTCATCTCAATTGTGGACACTGACCTCCCCGCGGTGCCACCTGGGGAGCTATTCTCATCACCCGATGAAATAGTGAGCTAATATGTGCGGCGAGTTCACCCATAAGAACTATAAAATAATGGGTTGACGCGTCGGGTTAGTTGCCCACACTCGGAAAACCCCTCTTACTATGAAAAAGCAACGAAAAAGAACAGCAAACCCCCCAATGTTGACGACCCCCGCAAACGTTTAAAGGACCAAGATCTGTGAATCTGCACTTGGAATGTACGCACGTTGTATAGAACACTCGCAGTTTTCGCTTTGGCGGATGTACTCAAGAAGTACAAAGCCGATATTATTGCCTTCCAGGTAATGCAATGGAAAGGGACAGGCGTAAGTAAATCCGATGATTACGCCCTGTATTATAGCTGCCATGAAACGAGACGTGAATTTGGCTGCGGATTTATGGTTAATAGGGGAATAAAAGATCTCGTCTCCAGATTCACTCCAGTACATGAGCGAATTGCTATAAACCGCATAAAAACGAAGTCCTTCTACATCCGTCTTATTTGCGTCCATGCTCCGACGGACATCGACAAAGATGAATAGATCAAATACATTTTTTACGAGCACCTAGAAACTGCATATGACCGCTGCCCTGGCCATTACATTAAAATTCTGCTAGGCGATTTTAATGCAAAAATCGGAAGGGAAAATATCTTTGGTCCCACTGTGGGAAAATTCAGCCTCCACGAAGAAACATCCGACAACGGCATGAGGTTGATTAACTTCGCGGCAGCAAAAAACATGGCAGTTAGCAGCACCAGATTCAAGCATCTCGATATACACAAGGCCACCTGGATTTCGCCTGATCCTGAGCAACGAGAAATCAAATTGATCATGCTGTGATAGACGGAAGGCATTCATACAGTGTATTAGACGTTCGATCGATCTGAGGAGCGAATATCGATTCGGACCATTACCTAGTAGCAGCCAAGGTTCGCACTCGTCTTAATATAGCAGCAAAGGTGCGATCTAACACAACACGGAACTTGACGTCGAAAAGCTGCAAACACAACAGGTAGCCGAGACCTACTCCGCTCAACTTATCCACCTGCTTGACGAAAACACTTCTTGTCCTGATAATAATATAGAAGCACAATGACAGGGAATTACCCACTCCCTACAAACTGCAGCACCACCAAGCAGTTCGAGAATATCGCGTGAATACCATCCTCAGAGACCATCCGCCTTTGATAGCAGCAGAAGAGCAGCAGCTACCTCGACAAACTAGAGTGGTCTTGGCACAACTGAGATCTGGATGAGGTAGCCGCCTCAATTCGTGTTGGGCGCGAATTGATGGAGAGGTCGACAATGTCTGCCCGACATGTGGTAACGGACCACATGAAACGCTACATCTGTTCAACTGCCCAGCCAAACCCACTCAGCTAACCCCATCTTCTCTCTGGACTCAACCAATACAGGTCGCAGCCTTTCTGAATTTAGAGTTAGAGGCAGAACGAGATTAAAGAAAATAGAAAAATACACAGCAGTACTAGCTGCTACAACAACCAAGAAACCCATTTTACGGTCAGGAGTGTCGTAATGCTAGTGATGCGAAAAACTCAGACTATAGGGCAACCCTGCAGACAGTAGCAACACGTAATGTGATGGAGAATTATCGGGAGAAAATGAGACAGGAGAAATGTATTCTCAGATAAAAGCAGAAAGAACAAGAAAAACGTGAGCGTGAGCAAATCGAGATGCAGAGGAGTCAGAATGAAGTTCGGAAACCGAAGGCTTTAATGCAGGCATATCTTCCTGTAGATATGAAGAAGGAAACCTGGTGACAGATACAGACAGCGTGCTGAAAATCTGGCAGGAGCATTTTGAAAAACTTCTGGTATCAAATAGTAGCGGTGAAGAGGATACCCCAGAACCAATCAGAGATGATGGTATAGAGTGTATACCACCTAGCCAAGTTGAAGTCAGAATAGCAATCAATCGGCTGAAGAATAATAAAGCAGCAGGTGCCGATGGTTTACAAACCGAACTATTAAAGACTGGTGGTCAGATGCTGGTAAGGAGCATGCACCAGCTGATTAATACAATTTGGCTAGAGGAAAGCATGCCCAATTGGATTGAAACTTCAGCATCCTGTGTCCCGTGCACAAAAAAGTAGACAAGACGATATGTGCCAACTATAGAGGAATTAGTCTTCTTCCCATCCTTTATATGCGATGGGAAGGAGACTTATGCAGCGTGCTGTGTGAACGACTGAAGTCAATGGTCAACATTATTGGACTATACCAATGCGGCTTCAGACCTGGCAAGTCCGCCATTGACCAGATTTGCACTTTGGCATTCGTTTGGCATTCCTGCAAAATTAGTTATCGGCTATGCAGGTTAACTTTAACTGGCACAAGATCAGCAGTTAAAGTCGGAAAGGACCTATCGGAGCCCTTTAATACCGAACGAGGATTCAGACAAGGTGACAGTTTGTCAAACCTTGAAAAAAAACGAAAAACACATCGACACATTCCACCTATTTGTCGAATATAAAGCCGCATTCGATAGCCCTATCCGTTCAGAGGTTTTTAAAGCCATGTCTGCGTTTGGCATTCCTGCAAAATTAATTCGGCCATGCATGATATCTTTAACTGGCAAAAGATCAACAGTTAAAGTCGGAAAGGACCTCTCGCCCCCTTAAAATACCAAACGAGAATTCAGACAAGGTGATAGTTTGTCGTGTGACCTTTTTAACATCCTGCTGGAAAAGGTCATACGAGAGGCAAAGGTGAACAGAAATGGCACTCTGTACACCAAACAACAGATGTTACTCGCCTACGCCGATGACATCGACATAATGGGTCGAACATTGCGTGCGGTAACAGCCACCATTGAACAAATTGAGAAGGAGTCTGCCAAAGTGATTCTGGCAGTAAATGGGGAGAAGACCAAGCTGATGGTATCAACGCGCAAGACGTCCAGTAGACTCGGATCAACTGTGGAAGTTGAGAGCTACAGCTTCGAGGTAATTAATGATTTTATATACCTTGCTACCGCCATAAAAAACGAATGACATCAGTTTTGAAATTCGGAAAAGGATTGTGATGACCAACCGATGCTACTATGGTCTGAGTAAGCAGTTTAGAAACAAGGCCACCTCCCGCCAGACCAAACTCACACTCTACAAGACGCTGATACTACCCGTGTTGTTACATAGATCTGAAGCATGGGTACTTACGCAATGAGGCAGCACTTGGAGTGTTTGAGAGAAATTTTCTACGAAAGATCTATGGGCCGATCTGCTGTGACGGTGAATATCGCCGTCGAATGAACCATGAGTTGTACCAGCTATTCTCG